CAAACAATGAAAGAAATGTAGAATATCTTTATATCACGAAACTCCATTTGAATAAAAAGGAAGTATTGGAAAAATTATTTACTTTTCCTATGATCTGTATTGCACGTATATTAATACAGTTGAAATAAAGATTATTGTAAACCAGAAGTTTACAAATTAAAATAAATTTGAGGTTTGGCATGATCGATTGGGTCACCCTGGGACTATCATGATGCGAAAAATAATTGAAAATTCATGCGAACATTTATTGAAGAGCCGGGAGATTCTTCAATCAAATATTTTTTCATGTACCGCTTGTTCCCAAGGAAAGTTAATAATTAGACCATCACCAGCAAAAATTGGGCATGAATCTATCTTATTTTTAGAACAAATACAAGGTGATATTTGTGGACCAATACACCCCCATTGTGGACCATTTAGATATTTTATGGTTTTAATTGATGCATCAACAAGATGGTCACATGTTTGTTTATTATCAACTCGCAATCAGGCGTTTGCGAGATTATTAGCTCAACTAATTAGATTAAGAGCTCATTTTCCTGATTATCCAATTAAGAAAATTCGTTTGGATAATGCTGGTGAATTCACATCTCATGCTTTTAATGAGTATTGTATATCCATTGGAATTGATATTGAACATCCGGTAGCACATGTTCATACACAAAATGGACTTGCAGAATCATTTATCAAACATTTAAAACTAATTGCTAGATCATTACTCATGAGATCAAAACTTCCAATGACAACTTGGGGGCATGCAATCTTACATGCTGCAATATTAATTCGCATCAGACCAACAAATTATCATAAATTCTCTCCTTTACAGTTGGTTTTTGGTGAGCAACCCAATATTTCTCATTTGAGAATCTTTGGGTGTGCTGTATATGTTCCAATTGCCCCTCCTCAAAGAACCAAAATGGGTCCTCAAAGAAGGTTGGGAATATATGTTGGGTATGAATCCCCATCTATAATAAAATATCTTGGACCACTAATAGGCGATTTATTTACGGTTAGGTTTGTCAATTGCCATTTTAATGAGTTGATTTTCCCAACATTAGGGGGAGAACAAAAACAATTGGAAAAAGATATTAGTTGGAATGAATTATCATTATCTCATCTTGATCCTCGTACAAAACAATGTGAACTAGAAGTTCAAAAGATAATTCATTTGCAAAATCTAGCCAACCAATTACCAAATGTATTCACAGATCCAAAAAGGGTGACTAAGTCATATATACCAGCGGCTAATGCTCCAATAAGAGTTGTTGGACAATTTAATACTACAAACGAGTCACAAATACGCCTGAAGTGTGGTAGACCAATTGGTTCAAAGGATAAGAATCCTCAAATAAAAAAGGGAGCTAAAAAGCAAAATGACCAAATTGAGGATGTAAAAACTCAAAAATATTCCTCTGACATAACTCATATTTCAGTTCCAGAAGAAACTCAAGTACCTAAAATTATTGAAAATGAAGAGATCTCAATAAATTATGTCATGAATGAAATACGATGGAATTGAAACAATGTCAATATTGATGACGTGTTCGCATATAATATAGTGCTAAAAGAAATAAATGATATTGAGGATCAAGAACCAAAGTCCATCAACGATTGTCGACAAAAAAATGATTGGTCAAAATGGAAAGATGCAATTGAGGCAGAATTAGACTCGCTTGCTAAGTGAAAAAGTTTTTGGACCAATACTACGTGCACCAAAAGGTGTAAAACCAATTGGATACAAATGGATTTTTGTGCAAAAATGAAATGAAAATGGTGAAATTGTGAAATACAAAGCAAGACTAATTGCTCAAGGTTTTTCACAAAGACCCGATATTGATTTTGAAGAGACATATTCACCTGTAGTGGATGCAAGTACTTTTCGATATTTAATTAATTTACACCTAATGGATGTAGTTACATCATATTTATATGGCTCTCTTGATGCTGACATTTATATGAAACTCCTAGAAGGATTTAATTTGCTTGACGATGCAATTTTTAAAGAAGATTATTCGATCAAATTGAATAAGTCCCTATATGGGCTAAAGCAATCAGGTCGTATGTTGTATAATCGATTAAGTGAATACTTGTTACAAGATGGATATAAAAATGATCCAATTTGTCCGTGTATATTTATAAAAGGATCTGAAAATGGATTTGCCATAATTGTAATTTATGTAGATGACATAAACATTATTGGAACTCTTGAAGAGCTTTCAAAAGCAATAAATTGCTTAAAGAAAGAATTTGAAATGAAGGATCTGGGAAGGACAAAGTTTTGTCTAGGACTGCAAGTTGAATACTTAGAAAATGAAATTCTTGTGCATCAAGAAGCTTATATAACAAAGGTGCTTAAAAGGTTTTATATGGACAAATCACATCCATTGTGCACTCCCATGGTTGTAAGATCTTTAGGTGTTAACAAAGATTCATTTAGACCCCAAGAAAAGGATGAAGAAATACTTGGTCCCGAAGTACCATATCTTAGTGCTATAGGAGCACTAATGTACCTTGCTAATTATACACAACCTGATATAGCATTTGCTGTTAATTTGTTAGCATGATATAGTTCTTCACCTACACGAAGACATTGGAATGAAGTTAAACACATCCTTCGTTATCTTAGAGGTACAATAGATATGAGATTATTATATTCAAATGTTCCCAAACCAAAACTAAATGGTTATGCAGATGCAGGTTATTTGCCAGATCCTCATAATGGTAAATCACAAACAGGATATTTGTTCACAAGTGGTGGTACAACCATTTCATGGCGATCTGTAAAACAAACCATATCAGCCACTTCATCTAATCATGCTGAAATTTTAGCATCACATGAGGCAAGTCGTGAATGTGTTTGACTAAGATCTATGATTCAACACATACGAGAAACTTGTGGTTTATCTTCTGGAAAAATGATATCAACAATTATATATGAAGATAATGTTGCATGTATTGCACAATTGAAAGATGGATACATAAAGGGAGATAGAACAAAACATATTCTACCAAAATTCTTTTTTACTCATGATCTTCAAAGGAATGGTGATATAAATGTTCAACAAGTCCGCTCAAGTGACAACCTAGCAGATCTCTTTACAAAGTCACTTTCAAGAAAAGTTTTGAACAGTTGATACACAAGATTGGACTCCGTCGTCTTAAAGATTGTATGCATGAGGGGGAGAAATAAATATTTATGAATGATGTACTCTTTTTCCTTCACTAGGTTTTTATCCCACAGGGTTTTTCCTAGTAAGGTTTTAACGAGGCACAAACATCCAAGAGAGAGTGTTATGAATAATAATTAGTGGCTTAATTAGTGGATGCCAATATTCATTATCAATCATTACCATTTATATTTCCGTTATGTATTATTCTCTTTATTGTGTAATTGTTCAATTACCACATGTACTAATAAATAGGTTACTCCTCTCCCAAAATAATAGACTAGTCAGATTCTTTTCTTCATCTCTTATTATCTTGTTTATTCTCTCAACTTTTTCTCTCTTTTATAACAATTTTAAAACTTGTAACAAATATAGAAAATTTATATTCCAAATTTACATTTCAAAGAATGATGTTTTAATATGAGAAATAAATGTCCCTAATATTAATTAGACATTACATTAATTTTTTTATAAAACATTACATTAAAACCTACACAGTAACAAATGTTACTATAAAACATTTTAAAAAAAAGTTATTGTTACAATTTCACAAAATTTTAAGAAAAGTTAATGTAATTTATTTTAAATTTTTAGTTCATATAATTTATAAAAAAAATTCAATCCCTTTATGTAAACATAATATATTTACAATACAACATTTGCCTAACCAATAATAATATTCATAGGTTCACTACTCTAATGGTATGTTTGAAATAAGTGATTTGGTAGGAAATGAAAAAGAAAGAAAAAATTATTAAGGAATTAAAATAATATATGCGTGTTTATAGAAGATAATTTAAGTGAATTTATGAAAAAATTATGATAAGATACAAGCTAATTTAATTTACTCTCTCTTGTAGGTGAATTTGTGTGATTTTTTTAAAAATACTTAGATAAGACTACTTCCTATATTATTATCTAAATAATTAATTAATAAAAAATAAAAATATAATTCTATAAATAATATATTATTATATAAAAATTTAATTATATAAAATAAAATTTTAAAATACTAATTTGTTATCTAATTCTATTCTATAGAATAACTATAAATTTTACACTATTTTTTTTTTATTTTTTTAAAATTAATTCTCACTTATTATATTCAATTCCATTTAATTATTCCCACCCTAAACAAAGCAGAAGCTTTATAAACAAAAAGTAATAGACTATAGACTCCTAGGCATTGTACTTTGTTGGTGAAGGATCAATCCAAATTAAAATTTTATGTGGACGATTTGCATTTATATTTATATTTAATCACAAATACGGACATACCTAAATTTTGCCCTTAGTAAGAAATATAACATCTCAATATATATTATATATTACTAACTGGATGCGTTTTTGTCGTGAATTTTTGAAGTAACTTAAAATTTTAATATATATGAGAAGAATTATAATAATGGTTAGATTTATGAAATTTATATTTAATATAAAATTATTGAATAGTATAATACTTAATAAAAGTTATATTATTATAATTTGAACCCTCTTTTAT